GAGAGAGAGAGAGAGAGAGAGAGAGAGAGAGAGAGAGAGAGAGAGAGAGAGAGAGAGAGAGAGAGAGAGAGAGAGGACTGTGAACGCGTGTACCGTCTACGGTAAAGAACTGTCCAGTAAAGTCGGGGAAAGAGAGCTCCTCGTGCTTAGATGTCTACGGTAGAGAACTGTCCAGTGATGTGCGTATGTTCTCTGCCAGTCTGTATTTTCTAGAGAGAAAGGGGGATGGTAGGGCGCATGTATTTGTTGAACAGGAGCTGCGCTTCTGGAACGGATCAACGGTGACGGAAATGAGCTCTCTCTCTCTGTCTCGATCGGTCTATTTCTCTCCCTCTTTTCTTTTTTTCTTTCTCTTTTTCCTTTTTTCCCCCTTTCTCTGTCTCTCTCTTTCCCTCTCTGTCTTTTTCTCCTTTTCTCTTGTTCTCTCTTTCTCTCTTTTCTCTCTTTTCTCTCTGTTCTGTCTTCTCTCTTCTCTCTTTTCTCTCTTTTCTCTCTCTCTCTCTCTCTCTCTTCTCGCTTCCCCTCCCTCTTTCTCGTATCGTCTTGATGGATCTGGCGCGCTTCGTCCCTGCAAAGCTGGCGATCACTTTTGGTTGTATGTCGGAACAGATACCAGATATGAGGGAAAGGGGAGAGTGTGTGGATTTGGAAAAGTGTGATATAATGAGGGAAAGGAGAGAGTATGATGTTATGTTCTTCCTCTGTGCTCTCGCATTTCTGAGGAAGAACCTGACTCCTGTGACAAGGTACAGGACGACTTTGGGATTGGATGTGCGCGTTTCTGTTTTTAAACCTCAGCAGTCTCTTTTTGGAGCCACGTCACTGTTACAATTTGGTGAATATGTAATGGACGCAACATGAAGAAAGATGTGCGTACTTATTGCTTGCCCTACTGATAGCTTCTCCTACTGATAGCTTCTCCTACTGATAGTCCTACTGATAACTTCTCCTACTGATAGCCTGTCCTACTGATAGCCTGTCCTACTGATAGCTTGTCCTACCGAAAGGTTGTCTTGTGGTAAATCCACAAGACAACAATCCCATAACTTGAAAAGCCAGTACGTTTCCCGAATATTTTTCTTCTTCAATGTTGAACGGTGCTCATAGTGGCCTTCGGGGGGGGTGTTTCTACAGGATCTGTTCGGCTGGCGCTGCCAGCCGAAACGAAAATCTTACGGTATGCCGGTGGTCTTTGTTTTTTGGCATTTTGTGCAAGTGCGTCTCGGGAATAATTTGAGTTATGGCGATATTTGTTTTTTTGGCACTTATGCCAGAAATCCAAGGTCAATAATGACTGACAATTAAGATAAATAATGAGAGAAATCTACGGACTACAATGGCAGAAAAATCCAGTATGGGATCAGCAATCCCATTACTTGAAAAGCCAGTACGTTTCCCGAATATTTTTCTTCTTCAATGTTGAACGGTGCTCATAGTGGCCTTCGGGGGGGGTGTTTCTACAGGATCTGTTCGGCTGGCGCTGCCAGCCGAAACGAAAATCTTACGGTATGCCGGTGGTCTTTGTTTTTTGGCATTTTGTGCAAGTGTGTCTCGGGAATAATTTGAGTTATGGGGATATTTGTTTTTTTGGCACTTATGCCAGAAATCCAAGGTCAATAATGACTGACAATTAAGATAAATAATGAGAGAAATCTAAGATTAGTTTAGCTGGGTAGCAATTTTTGTTGATTTCTGTGTCGTAGCGACACAAAAAAAAAATTGGAAAACAACACTGGTGCGGAGATCAGATTCATACCATAGGAAGTTTGGGCAACTCTCAAGTCCTGAATTTCACTCCAGTGCTGCCAAATTGTTTGAGCAGAGGCAGTACTTGCAGTTCCCTCCCCCCTTATCATGTTCTTTTTGAAAGGAGGTATCTAGCCCCCAATGTGTGTGTGTGTGTGTGTGTATGTATGTTTCTTTTCTGTTTCTCAAGTACAAATCCAGTGCTTACAAATTGTCTGAGCAGAGGCAGTACTTGCAGGGATTTTTTTTTTTTAATCGTTTTCTTTTTAAAAGGAGGTATCTTCCCCCTATTGTGGGTGTGTGTTTTGTTTTTCTGTTTTTTAAGCACAATACCACGCAGCCCCATCTATTCTGGGCCACAGCAGTCCGGTTGCTTATCACTGGTAAGCATGGAACAGAGATGAAGAAAGAACATGTGGAACGAGAAACAGGAACAGAGAGAAGGACGAGGGCATTCAATTCACCTGATTCTTTGAGGACGTGAACTCATGATCTTTTGTAAACAATCATGTGTGTGTGCCGTTCAGCCACGCTAAATAAAATTTCACTATATTCCGGAACGTGCTCTTTGCGTACGGCCCTTTGTTTTGTTTGTCAAATTCGATACATGTACGAGTTCACCTTACTGAAATGTAATGGCCATAATCCGCAGGAAACCAACAGAGCCGGGTTGTGGACGACATCAGTAGTGCAATCATGTGCTCTGGGTTGTTGGGTACAGATCGAAGGTGGTCGGTCGACCGGAGCAAATCCATAAATGATGGTCATTCCGCTGCTCACACAGCAACCTTCGTGTTTTTTTGACCGTTGTTCTCTTTTTCTGCGGCTCCTGTTGGACCAGACTCGTTGTCCTGTTAGTGAGGATGACTTCTTTTTTTTTTTTTTTTTTTTTTAAATAACTTCACGTGCCTCTCGTCTCCTTTTTGAATCTCCTGCTCTTCCCTGACTTGCGTCTAGCTTTTTTTATTTTTATTTTTATTTTTTATTTTTTTTAAATAACTTCACATGTTCTGTTAGTGAGGATTGACTCCTCCCCTGCTGGTATTGATTAATATGATAGTATCCTTGTGATCCCTGCAGGACTCGAACTTGTGAACTGTTCATCAATAACAATTACATGTATGTGCTACTCAGCTTCTTCTGCTCTAACGTGTTGCTGCGGCTGTTTCCTGTTTCAGTATGATCTATCGGTTACAACATTCTCTCCGGATGGCCGCGTTTTCCAGACCGAGTATGCGATGAAGGCCGTTGATAACAGCGGGTACGTGTTTTCTAAAACCTGTTTAAAACCAAACAGGCTTTTCTGTTGTGTTTCTACTACATATGGCTTGTTGAACTTGTGATGATTTTTTACAATGTCATTGTTATTATTTAAAAACATGTCGATGGGCAGTCGAGCAGCTTTGTATCCTTTCATAAATGCATATTGTCACCACGTGCCTTTGCTTCACTTGTTTCATATAGGGACAGTATAATTCAGCAGAATGTGGTACCGATCTGGCTGTCGCAGCCTCAGTGAGGATTACCCCTCAGTCACCTACAGCTCCACTGAACTACACTCAGTCCCGTCCTGTTGAGGACGTACCGCGTTTTCTTTGCTGCCAACTGAAAATCGCCGCTGCCTATCACTATCTGCATCTGGTTCTCTCTCTCTGTCGTTACGACTTGCCTAACACCCAATTACGCTGCAATTGTCACGGAATGACAATGAGCCAAACACTGACCATATCACTAGCTCATAAGATATGTATCATTTGATCCATAATTAGTCTTGTCTCCCTTCGCCTCTCTCTTGCATGTTATTGTGGCTCTTCTTGCATATTTTCTTCAGAAATTCGTCATCAGCACCCTGGTTCTGTAATGAAATTCTTCACCTTGGATGTGCGAGCATGTTTCTTGAGGTGCGCACAACTCTGGCTCTGCTTTGCTACAACTGGCTGAACTGCCGAACCTGTATGCATCCAGATACATCCACGTTCAGGCAGAAAATGGGATCAGCAAAATGGCATCTGCATGCATGGAGCATGCCCAGAGGCCGTTTTTGCGATGCAGCTATGCGGTGCGCCATGTGGTATAGTGCGGCAGCAGAGTTCCCGGATGACCGATGCACATCCGCTGGCTGCACTGAGTGCACATCAGGGTAGTGCGCAGGGCTGTGCGCACCTGCCGCTCTTGCGCACATGTTTGTTTTTGTGTTTGGCCTGAAAGATACTTGTATATAATTGAGGGCAACAGTGACGAAAAGCCTAGTAGCTGAGTACACTGTGTGCCTTCATTATGACTGTATGGGTTCTATACATCGGACTACACAAAAGGCTTCAGTATCAGAGCGCACCACATATCCTCATCATGACTGTATCGCAGCTTCTTTACATTCGTCTACACAACATGCCTCGTCGGATCACACCATGCCCCCACGTCATGACTGTATCTGACCTGAAGGGTAACTTCTTTACATTCCAGGACACAGCATGCGCTCATCAACGTTCATGAAAAGCCGCAGTATCCGAGGGTCATGACTGTGCCAGACCTGAAAGTTAGCTTCTGTACTTTCAAGAACACGACGCTCCATCATCAGTGCTCACAAAAAGTATTGTATCCGATTACATCACGCGCCCTCATATTACTGTATGGGACTTGAAAGGTATCTCCCTGTTAGAAGGGAAAATGGAGAGGACAAAAACCAACGTCAGAGCTGTCTTCCTTTTCCCCTATTAGTAGCAAAAAAATAAAATTAACTGTCAGAAGGCTGAGAACTATCTGTTTTCAACAGCACAATGCACCCTCATCATGACTGTATTGGACGGTAAGGATTTCTCGAGTATCCATAGCTCACATTGCCACACACACAATTTCTGGTGCCGCTGTCAAGCGCAGTCCCAATTTTTTTGTTTTTGTTTTTCGTGCGCTCGTATTTTATTAGATCTGGCACCGCTGTCAAGCGCAGTCCCAAATGTCTTTTTTTTGTTTTTCGTCCACTCGTATTTAGTAGATGAGGTGCGCCCCTCCCATATTTTTCCGACCACCACCTATTTTTGGGGGTGTGCCGTACTGCGTGCACGTGCATAGGGGCGTGTCTGCTGTGCGCTGCATGTGCACTGTGTCACATGTGAAGTGCACTGCACGAATGCTAGAGACCCACAAGGCTGTGCTTTGTATTTGCTAACAATGGGCCAGCTCGCCCCTGTTATACCATTGTTGATGGCCATGTGAGGCTGTCTTGCTTCTTGCCGCTTCCTTTGACAGGAAGAGGGACAGATCGAGGTGGGCTGAACCAACCAGTCCGTGTTGTTGACTGTCTGGTGTGAGGGGATGTGATGGTGTAATCTGCTTCGATTGATCTTTCAATTGTTTTTTTTTTTTGGGGGGGGGGGGGGGGTAGGAGGGACGGGGCAGGAGGACAAAAAGGGGGAGAGTTCAAGTTTGGTTGAGCCTGGCAGTGTGTGGAGTTTTCCATCTGTTGTGAGTGCAGGTGATTGTGTTGTCTGGTTTGATTTTCTTCAGCTTGCTGTCCTGGAGGACAGTAGGTGATGCCCACATTAGGTAGGTTATCGGTTACAGGGTGGGCAGTGAATTTGTGCACTGCAGTTTAGAAGAGGGTAGGTGACATATTATGTGGAGCTGTAGCTTCATTCTAACCCTATGAAAGGGCTTGAACCTCAAAGAGCAAGGACGTCTTCACACTAGGACTTGCTTAATAAAAAGAAATACAAGTGTGACTGTAATCTGTTGGAGGACCACCAATTTTTTTTATGCACTTAATTCTGCCTCTCAAATAGAATACAACCTGCCATCCGAAACCACTACACGAACAGCATTCCTCTCCGCCCCCCCCCCCCCCACCCCCTTTTCAACAACATCTGGTCCCAAAGGTTCCACTGTGTAATCGTAGCCGTGTGAGTGGGACACGCTGTGCAGTGTGATGCTATGCTGTCAAACAAGGATGCTGCTGTAGTTGTGTGCCTCATGGCATACTCTTAATAGCATTTCTCAGCTGAATCTGTCTACTAACTGCAGTCAGATAGATGGAAAGTTAAAGTGGGAGTATGCCGGTACTTCCGTTGGAGAAAGGGCGGGTGTGTTCACGTGGAACTGCAGTCAAATATGGAAAGTTAAGTGGGAGTATGGATGATTGACGGTGTGATTGGCATGACTTCATTGATCGATCAGTTGCTTGATTTTGAGTGTGTGTGTGTGTGTGTGTGTGTGTGTGTGTGTGTGTGTGTGTGTGAGAGAGAGAGAGAGAGAGAGAGAGAGAGAGAGAGAGTCGCTTGTGATGATCTGATTTGATGACTTCGGCCGATGAGAAGCTGTCAGGAGTGTGGAGTTATCGGGATAGTTGCTCGTATTCATCGCAAAGAGAGTTCCATTCGTGGGAGAGCAACGAGGGGCATCATGCACATGTGTTAGAGTGTTGTGTGTGCATTAGCCTGGGTGATAGGTATGATAGATATGAGGACTCCGGTTAAGTGAGACCTGAGCCTGGCTACCGAGCTCAGCGATCTGCACTCGAATATGAGGAATCTGGGTAAGTGAGACCACGCTTGGGGCAGTTATGTGTAACCTCCTCTCTCTCTCTCTCTCTCTCTCTCTCTCAGATGTTCTTTTTCTCGGTATGCGCTTTGAGTAGGAGATGAAAAGAGTGGAGCATGATACCAGCCGAGGGTTGGGATCTAATGGTTGGGGAATGCAGAGAAAAGGGTGAAAACGGTGACGAGCACAGACAGACAAACACACTGGCACAGTCATGCTTTTTCTGTGGAGTTGTGTATTACGTACATGACAACACACTTCCTATGAAAGTTGGACAGAACAGTCACAGTCACCCTTCTCTGTCGTATTATATTCAGCAAACTACAAAACACACATACGGCCTTGCCCGTTCTCTGTTGAGGCATATTGGTGCAGCCAGGGTCCAGATCTACCGGTGGTGATGCTAGTGGTTGTCCTTTGCTGACTGGGTGTGTAGAGTGGGTTTTATGGTTATGAGGGACTAACTATTGCCATTATTGTCAGGAGTCTGGAGTCTGGAGTAGACGGTAGTCTAGGATTCTTAGGGGTTGGTGTGAGTAAGATGACCACTTTTCTGAAGGGTATGGCTAGCTTTGGCAAGGTGGTAAGTGTCCTTATCCTGGTCAGGCTGTTGGGGTTCAACCTCCTGATGAGTCGGCAAGAAGTCTGACAAAAGTCTGTGCAGTGAACCATTTCGCGATTTATGCAAGTCATCCTTGCGCAGGGGATGTGTTAATCTTCTCTCTGTCACTCCAATTTTTATGGATTTCCCGAAGGACTCGCCCCGTTTTACATTTTTTTGAGTTGTTTTTAGCGAATACAACACATGCAGACATGCCCCCCCCCTCCTCACTGTTCCCACCTAATCAGCACTTGCTATATAGTGTTGCAGCACTCGTGGGGGGCTTCACATGTACAGTGGAACAACCCTTGGTGTCATCACACAGACACAGATGATCTTTTTTTGTTTATCGTGCTGCGATGATGATGCCACTGTGTGTACTTTTGATACCTCTTGGCCTACAGCTTGGCCTACTGTGGGCATTTTCTGAGTACTGGTCACCGAAGTTAGGGATAACTTTGCGGACTTGGCCTTTTCTTGAACCTTCGCTCACACTGGCCTGTATGTTGGGCCCATTTTTGACTGCTGAGGACGACTCCCCCTGGATGACATTAAAACATCAGTCCACACGAGCCAAAGTTGACGAAGCTACCTCGCAAGGCGCACGAGCCTCCAACTGGGACTTTTCATAGTGGCCTTTGGTCATCACCACCGGCGCACCCTCCGAATTGAAAAGCTCTTACCGTGTATACCGGTTAGAGTGAGCTGAGGCTTGGGTGAATTGGTGATAATAAAATAAATTTCTTTGAAACCACCAGTCCATGCTACCTTCGACTGAATTCTGCGACCTTGGAAATGTAGACCATGCTTACCAGCCCACGTGTGGGGTCGGTTCGATACCCTAGCAGATGGCAAATTTTTGGTTCGTTGCCCTGCGAAATGAGATTTTTTTTGGTTCTGTACCTATGGAATCAGAAAATTTTCAGTTCAGTACCCTAAGGCATCGGAAAATGTTTGGTTTGCTACCTACTAGATGGGAATGTTTCAGTCCGGTATCTACAGCATGGGAAAATTTTCGGTTCAACACAATAGGCTTGGCTGTAGTATGGTACTGGTAGTGGTCGAATGCAGACAGATTAGGACTACAGGGTCACGCCCTATTGGGCTATGGTATTAGTAGTGGTTGAACACAGACATATTAGGACTGGAGGGTCATGCAGCATTCGGCTTGCTAGTTGGAAGACCGGCTCTCGCTTGTGCAATTCACCGGCTTAAGCCCCACCTGAGCTGCAGGGCAGTGCTGAGGAGTTAATCTATGAATTGGTGGGTGGTTGTGTTTTGACCGACCCCTGTTTTGATTTTTGATTTTTTTTTTTTTTTCCCCCTTGCTAATCTTCTCTGTATCGTTCCAATTTTAACGGATGTCTCGAAGGACACCCCTGTTTCGATTTCTGCCTCGTATTTTACCGGTAAGTGGTCTGTCAAGTTCGGCTGTCCCTCTTGCATCCCAGACACCTCCCATTTTTTTGGAACAACTGGCGCTGACCTCTTATGGTCTTACTACATCCTGTCAGGACCTGTTGAGTATGCTTCGTACGTGGGGGCATACAGTATTGGCATTTATCCTGAAAAGTTCATAGCAACCCTCTATGCCAGCCCTACCTTTCGTCTCTCGAAGACAGTCAGTCATCGATCAATTTGTGATTCAAAAAGTAGTTTCACTTTATGCTCAATGTATTGGCAATGACATGGTAATCGGGGTTTACTGGAGACAACTCTTATGGGTCTTGTTGGGTGCTTCGTTAATCAACACAATGTACTTACAGCCACCGTGTACACCCCCCATGCACACCGTGTGGTGGTTATACCAGTTAGTGTTGGATGTTTCGACAATGACAAGTGGGAAAGACGGTTTCGTTTTATGCTCAATGTATTGGCAATGACATGGTAATCGGGGCTTACTGGAGACGACTCTTATTGGTAGTGTTGGGTGCTTTGTTAATCAACACGATGTGCTTACGGCCACCACGTGCACCCCCATGCGCACCATGTGGTGGGGATACCAGTTAGTGTTGGATGTGTCGACAATGACAAGCGGGACTTAGCAAAGGTACTCGTTATGGATCTTGGGTTCTTTGCATAAAACCATAACCGAACTTTGAGCTGCTTCGGTTTGAATGATCCTATGATGCTATTAGTCAACCCACGTGCACACGAGCGGATGGTTTCAGTGATGCTATCAGTCATTGGCACTTCTTGTAATAAGATGATCAGTGGGCAGTTTATGGCAGTGGGGCTTCTAGCAAATGCAAAACTTCTCCGTTCTAAGGCTGATGCAGATGTGGGCCTTAGTTGGACTGGAAAAGTTGTGGAGAGGGAGGGGTCAGGTGCTGTGCTGGCAGCGTCAATGAGATTGTAAAGATGTAAAATACAGACAAGGGTGGGATAGTTTGATGTGTCATCACGGAAGGTAAGATGTTTCCAGTTCATGGGGTTGTTATCTGATACGTTTTTTGCTGCTGGTGTATGTTGGTCTGTGTCAGGACTGCGGTGGGGATTCGCTGCAAGGATGGGATCGTAATGGTGGGTGAGACAGATGGTTATATTTTCGTTTCTTGTTAGAATATGTTCGTCAATCAGTCTGAAATCTGTGTGCGTTGAGTTTATCTTGAGGTGGCCTGGTATCTAAGAGCATCAGTTGCTCTTATAGCTTGTGCTTTTGGGGGTAGGCGAAGGAGGGGGGGGGGAGTGGGGGGCCTCCTAATTGTTGAAAATGGTATGATCGTTCTCGTTATGTCACTAAAGGCAGCTACAATGGTGAGCCCCTTCTAAAGGTTCAAGTTTAGCATTTCAGTTGGCAGAGTTTGAAATTTACCCCTATGCACTGCCGGTATTTTGACAAATGTGTAAAAACTGTAAATTGAACTGAAAAGGAAAAAAAAAAGAGAGCTAAAGAACTGAAAGTGGGATCTTGACAGTTGATTAACAGCTGGGTTCGTTTCAGGGTTCTTCTGGTTGTTAGTTTTATCAACTTTTATGTCATTAGGACAATGGGTCCGTTTTGAGGTTGTTGTTGTGTGGGTGAGTGGAAGAAAGGGGGGGGGGAGGGATCCAGATAGGTAAGTTCAGAGCTGAGGATATTGTTCATTTTGCACGAGGGACGAAGATGTTCTCCGCTATGTTGGGGCCTATTCGGCTCGTGCTTTGTGTTGCGAATCCTGCAGCTCTACTTTCTACAGAGCAGTGTGTATGATATTAGAGAGGAGTAGAATTGTTCGTTCTCACATGGCCTCTCCTGTCATTTGTTTCAATTTCAATATCTATTAAGCGGAGTCCTTGCTCACCACGTGCCCATCCATTTGTATGGAATTAGGAGAAGAAAGATCATATTGGTACTCGAAAGAGAAGAATATGTTATCTAGTGTGTGGAAAAAGGAAATAACTTATCAAGAAGTAATACATCATTACTGCATCCATTTTCGTAACAAAACTCGTTCCTCTAGGGGGAAAGCGGGGGGTGTACGAGTTCAAAGGACACAGAGAGGGAGTGAACGCTGAATACATCACTAGTACTCGTTCCGTGTTAGTATGTTTTACTCCCTTCTGCTATTGCGTTCTTAGCTGCAAGCCTGTCATACCATCTCCTTTACTATCTCCTGAGTGCTTTTGGAAGTTACATGTATTGATTTTATCGAAACAACAGCGCTTATGCTTTGGATCCTGATTGAATGCAAATCACAGGATGTGAGAATGGATGTATTCCTTACGATATGTAATGGGTGTGGGAGTGACGAAACCAGAATGTGAAAAGTAATTGTTTGCATAGCTCTCTTGACATTGTGGCTAAGATCAAATTTGGTGTGCTCTCCCCAGTTGCGTAATCGCGTAGACGTAAGAGTACCGACGTGCCTGACAGGGCCAGTTTCAGGATTGTGGCAGTGCTGCTGTGCTTTCGCCCAACTCATTTTTTGTTTTGTTTCTATGCTCCGACCCCCAACCCATGTTGTGCAGGGAGTAGAAAAGCTTGTCATCTCGAAGATGCTGGTGGCGGGGTCTAATCGACGAATCCACTCTGTTGATCGGCACGCTGGAATGGTAAGACTCTCTATCTCTAAGAATCAACATGCATCCGTTAAGATTGCCATCTATACTCACATCATTTCATGCATTCCTGCGACTCTCTGTGTCTCTATGCATTGCAGACCATTCCCGCAGTATTCCAGTGGTCCCAGCTGGAAGCCTACAGCGGATTGAAGCTGATGTCCACTGATTCATCTCTCTCTCTCTCTCTCTCTCTCTCTCTGTTATCGGCTCCATAGGTCCAGGCCTGCTACGTCCAACTTGTGTAGGCTGCGGTTTACAGGGTTGTGTGTGGTGTATGGGAGGGGTACAGGGACCTTGTAGAATGGAGGCCGAAAGGCACTTACGATTTCCAAGGTATGGGTTCCACAATCATATCTTATGAGTCCCAAGGACTTGCTTCAACGGGTTGCTCACCACTTGGAAGTAGTTGGTCCACTAAGCCCATGGGCTCTAGGTCCATCTTAGGATACCATACGAGAGGGTGCGTATCGCATCGAAGGTAAAAATTGAGTCTGCCTGATGACCAGCAGGTACACCTGTAGAACTAGAGCCCGTCCGGACCAGGAATACCTAGCTGGCTGGTCGTCTCCAAACATAGAAGATTCTCATAGTACGGGGGATATTGGCAGAGACCAGGATTCTATAGGAAGTAGAAAGGAGACCGGCCAGGGGGCCTTTGAGGTTGCTATAGGATTCATACGGACTTGTAGAGTGGATGCTGATAATGTGTGGCTCGTTTGGGGGGTTAGAGATCTAGTCTCCTGTCTAGAGGGTTGGATAGCTTGGGGGTGCAGTGTATACTATTGGGAATGGGGGCTGGTCACTCACACCCATTCGTTGGGGGACAAAACTATCTAGAGTGGGTCCATAACAACGCCCAGTTAAGGGCTGGAATCTGTAGGGACTGGCTCCAGTCCCTGTTCACAACTGGTAGGCGCTGGAGGGACACGACTTGCAACATGACTTAGGGGTCTAGGAGGCTAAGTGGGCCATTCGAACTCCAAATGAGTCCTGGGGGATCTTCCGAAGTCTGAATCCGACCTCTACAACAACCTGCGCGATTAAAAGGGGAAAAAAAATGAAAGTATGCATCTCTAATGGGAAAAACAGGGAAAAAAGAAGAAAGCATGTCTCTAATGCGTGGACCCCTGATGCCATCACCCGCCACATCCTGTCCTAGCATGTCCCACATGCAGCGTTGGGTATACACCTGCTGCAACCGCAGTCAGATCTCCGTTCTCATTGCTGATGAACAACAGCCGCAGCAGCCTGAGTTGGAAAATAGACTATAACATGAACCACCTAGAGTGCGGTGTACTGAAAGGTTATCACTGCCAGGGTGAGCTGTGGAAGACTAAATCTTGCAACAGCTAAACACCCTTACTTCGTACCAGCCCTCGTCATTGCCTGCCCATAGAGAGGGAATAATGGCTGCGGAAACCCATGAAACTTGCTCAATATTGCTCTGTGATGGCCCACCTGAGATTCCGCCAGCATGTGATTCACATGCTTTATGCCGTGAGGATTACAAAGGCATAGCCCATGCAAGTTTTTGTTTTCATGTGTATGATGACAATCAACATTGCACTCATGTACGGCACCCTGACCTGTCATGTCCAGTGTGTAGACAGGGGCTGGATTGCCAATGCCATTTGATGCAGCAACTGCAACTGCGAGAATTGGATGCGGTGCTTCCACAGTCCACACCCAAACTGGTCCTGTCCAGTCTGTAGGGGTGGCCACTTACCATAGGCAACGGCTTCTCCTCAGCTAAAAAATCCCTGCAACCCAAACACTGACTGGCCTCTTGTGTACCGTGTCCGTGCTTCCTCCTCTGGGGTACTAGTATATGCGTAATAGCATATGAATGAACATCATGAAGACAAGAGATAAAATATAAGTTGAAGATCTAAGGAAAATGAACAGAAATGCACCTCGCCCTTTACTCTCCCTCCTTTCATAGCTTGCAAGTGGGCCGTTGGCACATGGGGATGTGGGCAGCTTGCACTCAACCACAATCAACATGGAGAGCCTTGTAAGTGAGAGGCACAGTAAAAGGGGAGCTGCAAGAGTAAATAAAAGGGGTACCCCCAAAGAAAGCCAAAGTAAAGATAGTTGAGAAAGGGATAACGTATCTATTCTGCTTCATGTTGCTTTTCTATAGAGGTAAAACTGTTTCATTGTTGGATTGTCTGCAATAGAGGTAAAGCTGCTGGGATCTTGGATCTACTCATCTGGGTGGAACAGGGGCTGTTGTGGTGATAATCTACAACACACATGCATGCAATCGTTCATACTCAGAATCCTGCCAAAAAACTTCATATCGCAAGACTGAGCCTCACCGACTTCTAGCATTTTCTAATGGACTATCATAATGGGCATTCGTAATGCAAATAGAAAAAGGGACTATCATAATAGGCATTGTAGGTCAAATAAGACCAGATTTATCACCAACACTTTTCGTTGTAACCGTTAACTCCTATATCAGAGAAGACCAACCGCCAGATGAATGAGAGTTCAAGGAATGCAACAAGTATTTTGAAGTGTGCGTTTGGCTTCCCCTCTTCGGAAGTTTTGAGTCCGGAGTGGTGTCCTGATGGTGGGGGTATGTGTGTGGTTTCCCCTCGTATGTCAATGTATATGGTTGAATTGGCGATGTGTTGTGCCAGGCTATGGCTGGTCTTGTGGCTGATGGAAGACAGATCGTGAACCGTGCAAGAGCGGAGGCTGCTAACTATAAAAGGTGTGATATCTTCGCATGTGTATTCCTATGCCCGTGTGTATGATTGCAAATTCCTCCTGGTTGATTCTGCAAAACGGAAGGGATTTCTCTTGCCGTGAAATTGTTTTTCCTTTTTTTGCTCTTTTCATTGTCCATGCCTCATCTTGTCACCCTGTTGGATGGATTGCTTTGACATTCTTTCTCTTCTATCATCCCACTACGGAGGGGTTCCTGGTCCCCTGAAATTGTTTTTCTTTTTTCGCTAATTTCAGTGTGTCCATGCCTCATCTTGCCGCCCTGCTGAATGGATTGCTTTGGCATCCTTTCCCTTCTATCATCCGACTTGTTTGGTTTGAGCCATGTCTTCTGTGCTTCTCATCAGCCAGTGATTGACTGGTCTTTATCTTTTCCAACGATAGGGTCGTAGTTCTAGAACAGCACAGCTTTCTTTCCCTTTGAATTCACAGTTTATTAATCCGTGGAGAAATTAGAGAAAGGGTACTGAGTCAAGCAGGCAGGAGTTTCAAGGATAAGGAGAGGAAAACTTCTCTTCGCTCCTCCGCTGCTTTTTGTTTGTTTTAGTTCCCCGTCCCCCTCTATCTAATTAGGCGTGCTCCTTAATCGATCTCTATCGACCTTGTTGTCCAGAGCAACCAAAGGAATCAATAAAGAGTGGGCCAAAGCACACACGGAGGCGCTCTACCGTGTCTACAATTAGAAAGGAGAGTTCTGCATCTCTCCCCGGCGTCTTCTCAACAAAGGGGAAAAAGGATATCAGTCTTTTTCTGCATGTGGACACTCTCCTTCTATCTCAAAGCTGAAGTGCCACCTCAGTTAGTCCGAACTTCATGACAGGAGCTATCCCGACTTCCAGTAACAAAGCACCAGTCTGGTGAGGGAAGCTCTCTTGCCGGAACCCAATTTTTTGAAGTCCTGTGCTTCTGCGGAATCTCAAATGGGATGTCCCTCCAATGTTTTGATATGGGCAACAGCCGAAGTCAGTGCGTGCGGGTGTGCAGTGCCATAACTACCAGACTTCGTCTATGGATGACAGTAGCAGCGTCCTTCATTCATCAGCTGCTGGGTTGGTAGCTACCTGACCTCTAGGACTTGTGACATGGGTTCCCTGTGCTTATTGCTGCTTCATTTGAGTAGGCAAGGGAAGGCCGAAAATGAGTTGGACAAGGCACAGGTGCAGTGACCCATTCCGCTTGCGAAGTCTGAGGCTTTTTATTGAGCAATGCCGTGAATCATGAGTCCTACCTGCGAACACTTATCTTATGGAGTGTTGTGAGCAATCGCTGCGTAGTTTTCTACATCAATCTCCACAGCTACAGACTTTGTGTACCCGGGATCTGGTCTGAATCTTAAATAGAGTCTTGCTTGCGAAGCTGGGAACTTTGTGGGATAGAACTGCAATCTGGTCCAGCCGCGCTGAAAATGTTGAGCCTTGAATGGACAAATTCGTAAGTTAGAATGTATAAGGACAAAAGGTGAATTCTGTAGAGGGCCAGTAGGGGTTTTCCAGTAAGTCCTATCCTAGAAGCTAAACTGGCAGACCTTTGCAGCAACAGATAAACTCGTATTTGATGTATTCGGCACTCGTGGTTAATCGGAGGTGTCATATTTGGCGGATTTCTCACCGAATCTGCCATATTTCCCTGACTTTTGTTTTTTTCTTGTATTTTTTGTTGGTATGATATGTATGTGGTTTAGGGTATATCTGTATTCAATTTCAACATTTTGGACCAGTAACTAAAAAGTTGGCAAAAACACAGAATTCAGGATTTTTTTTGGTGAACTCCGAAAGCTACTCCGAATAGGGTTTTATAGTGCTCTTGAGTTTTTTTTTGCCAATTTTTTTTTCCTGTTTGGTTTTTTGATGTTTGCATTATGAGCCTGCATAGTTTGTTCGCAAAATTTTCGATGACATTGCGTGTACTGATGCGGCGAAAAACCCCGAATTTTGGGTCTTCCATTAACCATCTCTCGTATTCGGACAAGGATCTTCAGATCTGCAGTCAAATAACAGACTGACTAACCAATGGTTCTCGTGGCTCTGTCGGTTGCAGTTTCTATGGAGATCAAATTCCTGGCAAGATTTTGTGTGATCGGGTTGCAAGCTACACTCATCTTTGTACGTTGTACTGGTGGATCAGGTCAGTGGTTCCTTGCAGTTGCATGAACTTGCATCATCTTAACATCTCCCCCTCCTCCTCCTCCTCCTTGTTCACTTACTCGTTTTGTTGAGAATGAACTGCATGTAGGGTTTTTGTGTGCACCGCGTCTGTGGTTCCATGGAATGGTGCCAGGAGCACACGTTCATCATTTAAAAGCAAGGCTGGGCTGGCAACCGTCTGGTTCACCTCCCGGTCCACCCGGTGCCGGACCAGCGCTGGGGGGTGAACCGGGAAACCGGTTTTTGAAAAAATGCCCGATATTTCTTTTTTTGGGCGGATTCAGATTGCGCTCGTCAAGATCTGTTGAAATCCGCAATAAAATTTTGAAGGCGCAATTTTTTTTGGGGGGGGTTTCCAAGGGGGG